TGGCCTGCTGTGTTCCTCCAGCTCCACATTGTGTTATCTCTGATAACAGTGTGTTATCTAGTGTTCTGTACAGTTGTGATGAACTACAGCTGTTTGTACAAAAAATAATTGTTTCTTTTAAAGCTAAGATACGTACCCATTGACTTCTTCTATTCCCATAAATGACCGTATTACTTCTGGTAGTTCATACTTGACTATAAAGAGGTAGCTTGACATAGCTGTAACAGGAATAGTTTTGTTAGGTGCAGTGCTATCAAAACTGTCACTTAACTCTGTTTTAACAAAGCATAGGGGTAAAGGAATTTGACAAAATAATTTTGAGCTACTTTGGAGAATACCAGGGAACGATTGTGCACATCATCAGTGTACACCTGCATAAAACCCTTCAAAAAAATTTATTCAGTCATTTTGTGGAACTTGCAACATTAATTTATATTAATAATACTCAGTGGCAGCAGTGTGTACTATCTAAAAGATGCACTGCAGAAATTCACCAAATATCCTTAGACAGCCCCTTCTAGAGCCACGACCACTTCCATCTAGAAGGACAAGGGCAGCAGTTACATGGGAACACCACCCCCTGCAAGTTCCCCTTCAAGCCACTCACTATCTTGCCTTGGAAATATATCACTTTTCTTTCGGTGTCACTGGGTCAAAATCCTTCTTAATACCATCGTGGGTAACATTTTATAGAAACTAGAAGCAGGATAGGCCATTCGGCCCTTTGAGCATGATCCACCATTCAATATGATCATAGCAGATCCTCTACCTCAATGTCATGTTCCCACTTTCTCCCACAACCCTTGATACTTTTACTATTTAAAAGTTTATCAGTTTCTTTACTGAATGCACTCAATGATCCGGCCTCCACAAATATTTGTGCTAGTGAATCCCACAGGGTGACCACCCACTGTGATGAAATCTTTCCTCATCTCAGTCCTAAATGCCCTTCCCCATATCCAGAGACTGTATCCCCTGGTTCTGGACTCCCCAGAAAGAAAAACATCCTCTCTGCATCTAGTCTGTCCAGCCCTGTTCAAATTTTCTATAATTCAGTCAAATCCCCTCACTTTTCTACACCCTAGTAAACACAGACCCAATTGAATCAACGTTGAAACAAGGGTAAATGTGGGGTTAGGGTAGGGGGTGCTGCGTCTGGGTGGGATTCTCTTCAGAGCATCACTGCAGACTCAATGGACCAATGGCCTCTTTCCCCACTATAGGGATTCTATGAATGTCCCTTCATACTTGCAGGCAACGAACAACCTGTATGAACAACAAGTATGAAAGGACATTCAAGAAGGTTCAAGAAGGAAGCTCACCATCACCTCAGGGACAACTGGGGATGGGCAATAAATGCTGGTCCAGCCAACGATGGCCACATCCCATGAATGAATTTTTAAAAATTTGACAGGAGATAGGAGAATAGAAATAAAAGATAATTAAAAAGAAAATAACGTCACAGAGGACAAAGTATTGTTTAATGCCCTGGATAATCTAGCTACAACCTCGCAATATCCATAACGTTCACCTAGGGTAAAATTACATTTGTCAGCAAACTATATAAAGAATTCTGCCTAACATGGTGTAATGGGATAGATGTGTTTCTTGGAGTTTAGCCTTGCTGCATTGGATTGCCTCGACAGTGAAAAATGAGAAAGAGACAGTAATGAATGCATGCACATAAGCGAAATGGCTGAATCTTCCATTTATTGAGCTGAGTGAATAAGGAATCAGGTCTGGTGAAGGATTAGGCCTAACTATCCACTGGTTGAGCTGCAGTTTCAGGCAATTCATTCACGGGATGAGGGTGTCGCTGGCTAGGCCAGCGTTTAATGCCCATCCCAGTTATAGTCAACTGCATTGTTGTGGGTCTGGTAAGGATCAGACCAGGTAAGGATGGCAGTTTCCTTACCTAAAGAGACTGGTGAACCTATTGGGTTCTTCCTGACAATTGACAATGATTTCATGGTCATCAGTAGACTCTTAATTCAAGATTTTTATTGAATTCAAATTCCACCATCTGCCATGGTGGGATTCAAACCCAGGTCCCCAGAACATTTTCTCGGTCTCTGGATTAACAGTCCAGTGATAATACCACTAGGCCATCACCTACTCAGTTTTGTGAAAGTCACTGGATTCATAGAAATAGGTTTTGATGGAAGTTATCTACAGTCTTTAAAAGTTAGCCACATTTTATTTCATGAAAAAAATTCTCTATCAGTGCACTTGTTCCAAATTTGTTAAGAAACAATAAGTAATGTTTCAATTAGAGAAGCTGAAATGGGGTTTTTTTAAATGTGTAAATGGGATGTGGGCACTGTTGGCTAGGCCAGAATTTATTGCCAATCCCTATGTGCCCGAAGAGGTGCTTGTGAGCTGCCTTCTTCAAGCATGATTGTCCCTGGGTGTAGGGCCACTCGTGATGCTGTTAGGAAGGGTGCTCCAGGATTTCGTATTTGTCAATTCATTTTAAATTCATGCATATGTAAAAATATTGCTAATTGCTTGCTTGACATTTTTAGAGTAGCCAAACAGTACGATAAATCATTAAATTTGCCATGAAAAAGTTGATTTAAAATGTGCATGAATCCTTCTGAACAGTCAAATGAACGTAATTTAATTATTTTCAAATATAAAATCCATATGACCAGTATTGAAGGAAGCCATTCAGCACATCAAACCTACACTAGCTCCTTGAAAGAGTCCCACTTCCTATTTCCTTTCCTCATATCCCTCCATTTTTTCCTCTTCCAAGGTTTTTGCGCAATTTCTTCATGAAGGCTGCTATTCAATCTCTTTCTACGACTGCATTAGGGAGCACAAACCCAAAAGTGTGCAAAAACATTCTTGTTCTTCCCTCCATCATAAGGTCAGAAGTGGGAATGTTAGCCAAAAATTGTAGGATATTCAATGCCATTTGCAACTGCTCAGATGCTGAAGCAGTCCACGTTCAAATGCAACAAAATGTGAACAATATCCAGGCTTGGGCTGACAAAAGGCATTTAATATTCGTGCCACACAAATTCCAGGCAATGACCATCTCCACTAAGAGACAATCTAACCATGACATTTACATTCAATGGTGTTACCATTACCGAATCTCCACTATCAACATCCTTGGGGTTACCATTGACAAGAAACTCAGCTGGACTTGTCACACTAACATAGTGGCTACAAGAGCAGCTCAGAGGCTAGGAATACTACTGTGAGTAACTCACCTCCTGACTCCCTAAAGCCGGTCCACCATCTACAAGGCACAAGTCAGGAGTGTGATAGAATACTCTGCACTTGCCTGGATGGGTTGGAGGTCCAACAACACTCAAAAAGCTTGACACTATCCAGGACAAACCAGCCCGCTTGAGTGGCACCACATCCACAAGTATCCACTCCCTCTACCACTGATTCTAAGTAGCAGCAGAATGTACCATCACAAGATGTACTGCAGAAATTCACTAATGATCCTTAGACATCACTTTCCAAACCATGACCATGTCCATCTAGAAGGACACGGGCAGCAGGCACATGGGAACGTCACTCCCTGCACGTTCCCCTCCAAGCCACTCACCAGTCTGACTTGAAAATATATCACCGTTACTTCACTGTTGCTGGGTAAATTCCCTCCCTAAGGACATTGTAGGTCAGACTAAAGCACATGGACTGCAGCAGTTCAAGAAAACACTCACCACCACCTTCTTAAGGGCAACTAGGGACGGGAAATAAATGCTGGCCAGCCAGTGATGCCCACATACCTTAAGTGAATGAAAAAAACAAAGTACCTTAAGTCCTTAGATTATCAACCTTTTGGTCATTGGAAACAGTTTATCTTTATGTACTCTGCATCCCCATCATGATTGCAATCACCTCTGTCATGTCTCCTCTTAGCTTTCCCTGCTGTCAGGATACTTTCGACGGTGGATGAGTGAGGATTGGTGAGGGGGGTAGCATTTAGACATAATGGTTAGGGGATCTAAAATCTTCTTAAATACAACTGTGGGTCTTCTCAACAGCTTAGCTCGGCAATTCCCCACCCCTCGGAATTTTCTTGTCGACGTGCCTGACTTCAGCTCAAAGGTACCATCCCAGATTGAGATGACTGGGGGAACCTTATAACCCAGTTGGTTCTGGTGCATCACAACTCGAGTTATCCTCCTTATAGCCAAGTTCCAGCCCCCAATCTCTGTTTCTAAACCTCAGAAGACCATTGGCTTTCTCAATTGCATCGTTAACTTGCCCATTCACCTTCAAAGATGTGCTCTATATTTGCCATCCCTTTAAAATTGTACTATCTTGCTCTTATTGACTGTCCTCATTCTTCCTCCCAAAGCGTGTCACCTCACACTTCTCCACATTGAATTCCATCTGTCCATTCAATCAGAGTTCAAATCTGTTGCTATCTTGATCACTGTTAACTGTGTTGTCAACATTTTGTGTCATCTCCAAAAGTATCAAAATTATGGTCTGTTAATGCAGATCATAAACAGCATCACTTCTAGTACTGAACTACACAGAACACTGTAATGTATTCTCCCTAACCTTAAAAACCAGCAATTTGCGCAGTGGCTCATTGGTTATTTCAGAGTCAGGGACACGGGTTCAATTCCAGCCTCGGGCGACTGTCTGTGTGGAGTTTGCACATTCTCCCCGTGTCTGCGTAGGGTTTCCTCCGGGTGCTCTGGCTTCCTCCCACAGTCCAAAGATGTGCAGGCTAGGTGGATTGGCCAAGGGAAATGCAGGGTTACAGGGATGGGGTAGGGGGTTGGGTGTGGGTGGGGTGATCTTCGGAGGGTCGGTGCAGACTCGTCCACTCTGAGCTTTTTAGATGGGAAAACAGAATCTGTGTGTCAAATGTGATTTTCCCTCCATAAATCTGTGCTGGCTCTCCTCTAATGTTTCATGTTTCTAAAAACTTCCCCACCACTGAGATTAAACCCAGGAAGAAAATTATTTTTTTAACAGACGCCCCGTAATCAAAAATATAGTGGTCAATTCCTGCGTAAAGTATTACAAAAACAAACAGGCTTAAAATGTACATTCTGCAAAACAAAATAATTACCTCCAATATTCTGCAGTGTAATAGAACCAAAGGCTGCAATTTTCCCAGGCCACCCGAAAGCTCGTTCTCCTAATTTCTCATAAACTAAAGAGCCTGTTTTTTAAAAAAAACAAAGACTTTAGTTAAACAACATGATGGTATCACTCACTCCGAGCATATATTATCAGATAGAAATCAGAGGCAGTAGGCAAAATGGACAGATCAGTTGCTGGGTTATACTTGTGCCTGGTATCCATTCGACTGACTTTGTAATAGAATTGAATATCAGAGTATAACCAAGTGGCTGATACAATGCTGCTCTTCAGTGTCCTTCAGCCCAGAGGTGATTTTCTAACCTGATATCTCAACATGCGGTGTTAAATCTCTAAATCTCTTACCTCCTTCCTTTGCAGTCTTTAGTAAGAGATGAATAGAATACAATGACAATATGGCCACTGTAACCAACAAGATTCTGTAAGAGATGGAAAGGAATGAAAAGCGAAGAATAACATTTCTGAAGAAGGGTCCCGACCTGAAACATCAACTTTCCTGCTCCTCTGATGCTGCATGGCCTGCTGTGTTCATCCATCTGTGTTCTACACCTTGTTATCTCTGAAGAATAACGATGGTTTGTTTTTGGGTATAAACAGCAAGCCCAGTACTGCATTGTATCAAACTAGGCCAATTGAGTTTTTAACATTTAATAGAAGTTCAACTGTTCATTTCTGTTATTACCTCTTTTGGTTTTGAATACAAAATATCAAAATAATCACTTGTGAAAGCTATCCTGGTCAATTCTAACCCAGATAAACAAACAAAGTGTAAATGCTGAAAATCCAGAAGAGAAACAGAAAATGCCAGACACACACAGCAGTTAGTCAGTCTGTTGCTGTGGGATGTGGAAGTGTCTGTAGGTGGAACATTGCTTGTGCCTGATCTCCTTTTGTTTCTCTAAGAGATGTTGATGAGACAGCTCAAGATTTGTAAATATTAGTACAACTGTGGGTATTAGTGCTCTGAGCATCACATCAATCTCAGTCAGAAACGAACACAAGAGCTTCAGTTCAATATTACAACCTGTAGCAATTTGAATAAACAGATCTTATGACTTCATGCACATTCATTCATTAAAAGGCTCCAGTCATTCCTTTTGCTAAGTCTTGGAACACACAAGATAACCAAATTACTTTGAAAGTAATATTTTACAGGAAAATTCGATTAACTATTTTAGTTTATGACTCCTTTTGTATTCTTAATTATTAATAAAACTAATGACATTTCTACGAAATGTAACAAGACCAGATTAAATTTTGAGAGAGGCATGTTAAATATTTGAGAATAAAAACAGTAGTTGAGGACATACTGATTTGGAACCAAACCTTTAGTCTATATATAAATATATATATATATATATATATATATATATATAAAAAGTGTTACTAGACTTTTAACTCTAATACCTAAATTAAAGGTGAGTCAATATCACTGACAATTTTGTGGATGCAGAAACAGCAATGTTCCATATTAAATTCACATACTTTTAAAAAGTCCAGCAATCAGATATTGACTGATCATGGAGTGGTCTGGTATGTAGAAATATAATCGTGACTCTCTTCACAGAAATAACTAACAGCTGTCGCTGTTCATCAAGATTGTTATCCTATATAGTTTAGATTGTCTACTGTGCCATTTCTCCTCTACCTCCTTTGATTCTATATACCATTTTTCAACAAAGTCAGAAATCACATGACACCAGGTTATAGTCCAACAGGTTTATTTGAAAACTGTTGGACGATAACCTGGTGTCGTATGATTTCTGACTTTGTCCACCCCAGTCCAACACCAGCACCTCCGCACCATTTTTCAACAGGTAGAGAGATTTGCCCTCAAATCACTCTTCAAGCAATTACAGGCAGAAAGTATAAATGTTATTCCATTACATGTCAATCCACCTTATTCAATGTTCTTTTTAAGTTTCAAATGTCATATTTCATTCTATTCCAAAATTAATGTAAAATCTAACAGGAAAGCATTTTTAATGACAACCTTATATGTTAGAAGTAATATTCAGGGTTGTTCCTTCAGTGTTGTTGGATCAAAAACCTGGGGCTCCTTCCCTAATGGCATTATGGATCTACCTACAGCACATGGACTGCTTCAAGAAGGTAGCTCACCACCACTTTCTTAAGGGCAACTAGGGACATGCAATTAATGCTGGCCCGGCCAGCGATGCCCTCATTCCATGAATTAGCACACAAAATAGAAAGGCTGTAAACACAGAGTCGGTCCGACAGTGTGGAGCAAGCAGAGAGATTTCATAGCCTATCACTGTTCATGGAGTGTGGGGAATCGATGATTAATTGTCTGTCCCTAATTCCCCTCGAGGTGGTGGTAAACCACCTTCTTGAACCGCTGCAGTCTTCAGTGCATTCACATTGCTATGTGGAAGGGAGCTCTGGAATTTTGACCTAGTAACAGATGCAGGAATGGTGATAAAGTTCTAGCTCATGACAGGTGTGTGGGGTTTGGAGGGAACTTGCAAGCAGAAGTGTTAATATGATTGTTCTGCCCTTGTTCTTCTAGATAGTAGTGAATGTGGGTTTGGAAAGTGCTGTTGAAGGAACCTTGCTATGTTTCAGCAGTGCATCTTGTAGATAGAAACATGGAAATGAGGAGCAGGAGCATGGCATTCGGTCTTTCGAGCTTGATCTGCCATTCATGATGACCATGGCTAGTTGTCTATTGCAATAGCCTTTTCCTGCTTTTCCCCCACTGTATGCTTTAATCTCTTTAGTCCCAAGTGCTATATCCATCTCCTTCTTGAAAGCATTGAATGCTTCAGCCTTGACTGTTGCACAATAGTGGAGGGATTGAACACCGAAGCTGGTGGATGGGCTGCTTTTTTCTGGTGGTGCGGTGGTGAGCTTCTTGGGTGTTTTTCCATCTGGATAAGCAGAAGCAAATAAAGGGTTGAATGTGTTTCACACATAGTAACCCAATCCTGCTTAAATGTTTTAGCGAAGATCTGTAGCTCGGGTTATGGTTGGTTGGTTTGCCAAGCTGACTGGTTTTCATGCATGACTCCATCCAATCCAGCCTCTGGGGGTGAAAGCAGGAACGGATTCCTTTCTGGCAGGGTCCTGGGGTATTAAGGCCCCATTGTCCAGGCCTCCAGTTGAGATGATAGGCAGGCACCAAGAGCTGTTGGCCAAATCAGAGAGGTTGGCACTGCCACTGTTTGTACAGACTATTGCATAGACTGCATTACCAGGGAGATAGTAGAGCCCTTGAAGAATGGAGAGCTTGGTTGGGGGAAACCAAGGCACACAGGCCCCAGTGATTGTGAAGGGGATTGGGTTTGGGTCTTGGTGCAAGGAAGCACCATTGCTAGGGAGGACAACCTGTTCCACAGACCATGGAATGCAGATCAAGGAGAGCTCTTCCAATGGGGGCCAAGTGACTCTTAATTTGTCAGTTACGTGATTTACTTTCTCTCCCTTAACAACCTCAATTGTTCATGTCCCCACTGCAGGTAATATGCAATGGTGTGGGACAATGCTAGGTTCCACTTTGGAAGATCTCCCCCATTGTTTTTGTTATCCTCCTGACTCCTACCCAACCTTTACACAGGCAGAAGTGCTGGACAACCTTTTTAAGACAAGCATAGAACGGTAGCATCAGTAGAAAAATGTCATACGTTATCACAATCAAATAATGGACAGTAAACATAGGGCGAGTGAATAAACCGAAGCAGTGATATTCAATAACAAGACTGTGGAAGCAGTGAAATGGGAGCCTGGATGGATGAGATATTGATCATGAAAACCATTTTGAAAATGAAACAGAGGGCTGAATCCTCTTGTTTTTTTGGCCAAGTGAGAACTGTGTTGTGTTTGTTAGAGACTTTCTTGACACGTGGCCTGAGCAAGATTTTTCACAGTTTCTTGTAACCAAACTCACTTCATTAACTATTAACAACCAACTACCCCTTTCCACCACCCCATCCCCCACCTCGCCCAACCCCGTCGCATCCCTCATCCGTTTCTTACTACACGTTATTTCAGGAACAACTCATTAGACATTTACTGAAAGACTGGCACCCATTGCACCTACGTCGCTATGAAAGCGCACTGTACAACTACACAAGCCCTGGCAGCCTGGAGCACAGTTCCTGATATTTTCCCTGGACATGGCAGACAGGGGACCATTGGTACCCCGGCTTGTGGGCAGGATCCTGCAGCACCTGCTGGGCAGGCTGGCACAGATGCGGGTTGTCACTTGGGTTAGTGCAGTCTAGGCCATCTGGAGAAATGCCCATCCACACTGGAGTAAGACCAATAACCTTCTCCACTCTGCTAGTGCCAGTGCTGCCATCTTCTCTCAGATATCTCATCCCAACTCTGCTACTGTACCCACCTTCCACCAATACCACTCTCGGTATTGCCAGCAACACCGTCCCTCACCCACTGCCACCCCTACACCGCTAATACCGAATGCCCTCCGCAATGCCTACTCACTGATTCAGGACACCTCCCTACCGGCACCAACAGTAACAGCTCTGCCACCCACTTTCCCCAGCCTTAATACCTGCCTCTCTCTTATGTAGGAGCAAAGCAGCCAGCTATAGAACAGAAAGAGTCAACAGGAGTGGTTAGCTTCCTGACTGTGACTCCTCACCCTTTATGAGGACAGCATGCTGACTGACCTTGTCCAAGCCCCTGGACTGGTATCACAGACAACCCTTGATGTACGGACCTGTGACCAAGCATTTCTGAAGAAGAGACTCAAAACGTTAACTCGGTTTCACTGTCCACAGATCCTGCCAGACCTGAGTGTCTCCAGATTTCTCTGTTTGTCTCAAATGCTGCCTTCTTGACCAGAGCTGTCACTCTCCCCTCACCTTTTTGGTTCAGGTTCAGACCAATGTAATACTGTATTGAAGTCAGGGGTTGAATGGCCTGGGCGGTACTGAAATTGAACACCAGTGAGCAGTTTATTCAACCTGATAACATCTTAAAATGTACTTCAAAGAACTGCAGGTCCTGGAAATTTGAAACAAAAACTGAAATTGCTGGAGAAACTCATCAGGTCTGGCTGCATCTTTGAAGAGAGAAAGCAGAGTTAACAATGAGAGCCCAGTTCTGAATAAGGAACATTAGATTCAAAACGTTAACTCCGTTTCTCTCTTCACAGATCCTGCCTGACTTGCTGAGTTTCTCCAGCAATTTCTGTTGTTATGTTGAAAATGTATTTCACTGGCTGTGAGGGATTTTGGATATACTGAAGCTGTGACAGAGATGATACGAAAGCTAGTCACGTTTTTTTTCCTTTTTTTGGACAAACGTATTAATATTGCTCATTTTCGTACTGTTCTCTCTGTTATAATGTCGGATTCCAGTCTGTAAGATCTAATTTACATCATATCTTATGAGATAAACTGGCTTTGGAGTACTCACACAAATAGTATGATCCCAGTATTGGCCAAAGCGTAGGACAGACCAAGAATGCCACTCCCCATGATAGCGTTGCTGAGGTTGAAAGCTGACATTCCAAATGATGTCATTCCAGGATGCTGCACATGGTCAAAGATGTAAGTCAGTACAAATCTAAACTGTAGTCTATTAATTTTCTGTATTGTACCATTCAATTATGATTTTACTGTTTTGTAACATTTAATGTTGTTTTATGCATGGTAACACTTAATGTTATTTTATGATTGATAACATTTAATGTTGATTTTACTGTATTGTAACATTTACTGTTAATTTTGCCTGAGAAAATGAAAAGCATTAGACTGATAACACTACTCACATATTCTTCTTGATAGTCTTCAAATTTTGTTTTCCCTGAAAACTCATTTGTCAGAAACCTCTGAATTTCGGCATCATCTTCGTCATGAAATTGACTATTGAAGGGAAAAGCAAAACAAAGTTAGCCAAGATTTTTCTGGAGTTTCAGGCAGATGATCAAATTCAAAAAATTGCTTTCAACATCCCGGGTGTTCTCATTGACCAGAAACTCACCTGGATTAACCATAAACATACAGTGGCTACAAGGGCAGGTCAGAGGCTAGCAATACTGCGGCGAATAACTACAAGGCACAAGTCAGGAGTGTGATGGAATACTCCCTAATTGCCTGGACGGGTGCAGCTCCAACAACACTCTAGAAACTTGACACCATCCAGGACAAAGCAGCCTGCTTGATTGGCATCACATCCACAAGCATTCACTCCCTCTACTACCAAAGCCCAGTAGCAGCTGTGTGTACTATCTGCAAGATGCACTGCAGAAATTCACTACATATCCTTAGATAGTACCTTCCTAACCCACTTCCATCTAGAAGGACAAAGACAGCAGATACATGGGAACACCACCTCCTGCACGTTCCTCTCCAAGCCACTCACCATCCTGACTTGGAAATATATCGTCGTTCCTTCAGTGTCACTGGGTCAAAATCCTGGAATTCCCTCCCTAATAGCATTGTGGGTCAACCCACAGCAGGGGGACTGCAGCAGTTCAAGAAGGCAGCTCACCACCACCTTTCTCAAGGGCAACTCAAGGGTGGATAATAATGCTGACCCAATGCTGCCCACTCCCATGAGTGAATAAAAAAAGCTCCTCAACATGTGGCAAAACTAATCTTTGTATCTTTAAAGGAAGCATCCTCTCATGGTAACTGTGGATCAGATTACCATTTGGTTCATCTTTCCAATCATTAAGATGCTACCTTATCCTTATTGTTGTATCTAAAATGAATCATCCTTTGTCTCCCAATCTACCCAGAATTTAACTCTGCTTCAAGCTAGTTGGTGAGGTAGAAACTGAGACATCATGCCTTGTGGACAGAGTTTATTAACGACTCAATCTTACAGCTCTTTTCACACACCATTCCTGACTATTCTCCCTTTACAGATATTTTCTAACCAACCCATTCAGTGATGTTCAAACTTTTACTAGTTTGAACATTATCATTGTACACTCTATTCTGGTGGTAGATCAACCCTGTAAATCTCTGTTAACTTCACCTTTAGCTCGTTTAACAGCATCCACAGGGTAGTTATGTTATATATTAAATTATATTTGTTGCTGCTCCAGCCACTTGCATGTTTTGTCCAATTTATTGTATAGTTTTAGAGCTGTCATTCATCAAAGGCTGTAGTATGAACATCCAAGCAAACAGCTGCTCTTTGTTTGAGACAGTTCACGTTAATTAAAATGAGTTTTCTTCATGTGTTACATTACAAACCTTAATTACTCTCCCACAGTGACATTTAATTTGTTCAAGTTTCAGTTGGAATATTAAAATACAGAACCCAAGCTTTCATAATTTTACTTAAACCACCTTCAGCTTTTGAGATTAATACTTTTGTAAAATATTGATTTTGATCATCTGCTACAATTTTTTTTCTATGCTTACCTGCTGATGGTAGCTTTCTCTGAATTTGTCAATTTTGTATAGTCATCATCCATACCGCTTTCACTGTTACTGTCATCAGCCTCTGTACTAACTCTCTTAAGCTCCATACGATCCATACTTCTTGTCAAAATAAAACCAACACAAAAGGAGAATAAAAACAAACAATACAGCGGTCCTTTAGGTCTTTCAGGAGGTTTAATGCCTCTTCAACTTCAGTATTTATTTCCAAGACACTGTGTTCTGTTCATTAAAAGTAAGAAAAACAATGATGTTAGTTCAATCTTCTCTGTGTAACAACTAGCATACCTATTCCACACAGTTACCCTTCTGTAAAATATTGAAAGAAGGGTTGTCATATATTCGCCAGGGCAACTATTCTTACCATTGACGTTAAGATTTTCACTATGCAATCAAACAGGCTACAAACATAATATTGAGAATACTATTAAGACAATGTGGAAATATTTGGACAATTCATGAGCCCACAAACAAACAAACAAAAATCTCCAAGTGCAAGCCCATTCTTTCCAGCACAATATATCATTAGAAGATAGATTCCTTTCCCATCATGGCTGGTGAGGCACAGACTATAATGCTTAATCAGAACTGAATAATAAATTGAACGGAAGAAATATTAAACGGAGCTATAAAGGCCATTATTAAAGCAGTTAACTTCAACGGAAATGCAAAATTAGTCAAATGGCATACCTTAGTGTTGCAAAGTCAGTAATGTAAATTAGTTAGAGAATTTGGAATACATTTCCTAAGACGGTGGTAGAAGTGGATTCAATAAAGACTTTCAAAGGGAATCCAATATATATTTGGAAGGGAAAAGTTTGTGGGGCATTGGGATTAGTTCAATTGCTTTCAGCAAGAGCTGACATAGGCACAATGGAGTAAACGGCCTTCATCTGTGCCGGCTCAATGAAATGTCGTAAAAGTACATTGGAGGGTCCTCCTGCGACACAATGGTAGTCTGAGCCACATGGGTTCAAGTCTCACCTGCTCCAGAGGTGTGTAATAACACATCTGAACAGATTTATTAGAAAAATAGGTTTTAAGATATGGCACTGCTTACATAAAACCATACAAATAAACTCTGAGGTGCTCAAAATAAGTAGTTAAGGACTAAATACATTCATTTGGAATTTATGCTCACAAACAGGTGTATTATTTTCTTTCTCTGCCCAGAGACCTTGGCAACATTTAGCCAGTTATGTTAATTGTATATCAATCATGGTCAGCTACACAGGGTGCAAGTTGTTCATAGGGTTATTACTTGAAAGTGTTGAAATATACGGAATAGGAGCAAGAATAGGCCATTCAGCCCTTCGAGCCTGCTCCCCCATTCAATATGATCACAGCTGATCATCCAACTCATTCTCCTGCTCCTGCTTTCAGCCCGTACCCTTTGGTCCCTTTAGCCTCAAGAATTACATCTAACTCCTTGAAAACATTCAATGTTTTGGCCTCAACCAAGAGGTAGATATTTTAATCAACCTGTTCAGACAAATTATGACATACCTCTGGGACTTGAACCCAGGCCTCCAGTCCCAGAGGTAGGGACATTATCATTGTACCACAAGAGTTCGAAACGTCAGGCAAGGAATGGGAGAAATTTGCTTTTGGCCCAAGTGTTTTTGTCTGCAGCACTGATTTATGTAGGTATATAATTAGCTATAATCCACAAGCCATCTTTCTCCATTAGAGAGATAGACAATTGCTTTATAGCTTGAGCAGCACCACTCTGATCCATGTGCATAGATCACTGTAAGTTGCCACCCAGGTTGATAGCGTTGTTAAGAAGGCGTACAGTATGTTAGGTTTTATTGGTAGAGGGCTTGAGTTTCGGAGCCATGAGGTCATGTTGCAGCTGTACAAAACTCTGGTGCGGCTGCACTTGGAGTATTGCGTATAGTTCTGGTTACTGCATTATAGGAAGGATGTGGAAGCATTGGAAAGGGTGCAGAGGAGATTTACCAGGATGTTGCCTGGTATGGAGGGAAGGTCTTATGAGGAAAGGCTGAGGATCTTGAGGCTGTTTTCGTTAGAGAGAAGAAGGTTAAGAGGTGACTTGATAGAGACATACAAGATGATCAGAGGATTAGATAGGGTGGACAGTGGGAGCCTTTTTCCTCGGATGGTGATGGCTAGCACGAGGGGACATAGCTTTAAATTGAGGGGTGATAGATATAGGACAGATGTCAGAGGTAGGTTCTTTACTCAGAGAGTAGTAAGGGTGTGGAATGCCCTGCCTGCAAAAATAGTAGACTCGCCAACTTTAAGGGCATTTAAATGGTCATTGGATAAACATTTGGATGATAATGGAACAGTTTAGGTTAGATGGGCTTCAGATTGGTTTCACAGGTCGGCGCAACATCGAGGGCCGAAGGGCCTGTACTGCGCTGTTATGTTCTATGTTCTATGTTCTATGTTCTATGTTCTATGATCAAATGTGGAGTAAGGCAAGGAGGGAGTCCTCCATGAACTAGCCATTATAGGACTGGCATCACTCTGCATCATACTTGAGCTATTTAGTCAAATAATTCTACCCTGTACCAATTCAAGTCCTCATTTCCAGAACACACAGCATGATTGCTCAATACGACACATTGACCATGCCAATAACTAAGCACTCCCTAAATATTTACCCTTTACAACCAGTATTATCAAAAACTTTGTAACTCACTGAAGTCACTACAATAGTTGCTTTAGGAATTGTGCAATAATTGGGGATGATTAAATAGAAACCTCGTTGATAATCTGGCTGCACTATTTATCAAAGTGACAAAGTGGGTTTGATACAATAGAAAACACTGCTAATGGTAGATTTTGAGGGAGTTACGGGTCAGGTGCCGTGCCAACCTGGAGCCTGGGTCGAACTGGAAAAAGGCACGTGCTTTGTACATCAAGAGCAAGATGGTGCTGCATTTTTAAGTTAATGTTTTCTAGCTCCATGCTCTCAGATAGGAGATTAATCAAACAAGCAGAAGGGGTGGTGTAACTAGATTTTCCATATACTGTGGGTTCTGAGTGCCAACACAGCCTGTTCAACTAGGTATCCAAGTTCAAGATGAATATCCACAGATATTTTTGCATTTGCAATTACAGTTTGTTGGGTACCCTCCCATGCAATGTGACAGTTTTGGCTCAACTCTTGCCCATGGGTTAGAAGGTTATGGATTCAATTTCTATTGTAGAGACTTGAACATAATCCAGGCTCAATTTGTGTAGTGCAGAGGGTGTACTGCACTGTCTGTGATGCTGGTTTCCAGATGAGACATTAAAATTTAGCTCTGTCTGCCCTCACTGATGGAGTTTTAAGATTTCATATATGATTTTGAAGGAAGAAAGAGGCATTATCCCCAGTGTCCTGGTCAATATTTGTCCCTTAATCTCTTTTTGTGATGTTGCTTATCTGGTCCTTTTACTTTTGCTGTTTGTGGGTGCTTGCTGCGTACAAATTGTCATTTATATTTCCTTCATTCCAATAATGACAACCAGTCAAGGGTACTTTATTGGATGTAAAGCAGATTGGGATTTGCTGTAGTTATGAAAGGTATAATAAAAATACAAATCTTTGTTTTAGTGCAGTACTGAGGGGCTGCTACACCACCACAGTGCAGTATTTTTGATGAGTGTGTAAACTAAATCAAGATCCTGTATGCCCTATCCAGTAAAAGTAAAGGCACTATTGCAAAGATGATCAGGGCAGTTCTCCCTCGTGCCCAGGCCAATGCTTCTTCCTCAGTGGATATCACTAAAAATAAATCATCTGGCTATTATCACATTGTGGATTTATGCTGTGCACAAACTGACTGTTGCATTTCCTGCATTAGAAGTGATCATGCTTCGGAAATATTTCATTGTCTGCATGTTTTAAGACATCAGAGATTCAAAACCATACCAAAAACATTCATGAGCCTAAATTGCATCTCTGTGAACCCTGTGTCAACTCCCACTAAACTTAGACTTACTCAGTGGGGTGGGGGGTTGGGGGAAGAGGTGTCCTCACCTCTGGGGGAGGGATGTGTGGGGTTGATATGGGTTCTGTTCCGTGATTAAATGGGCACAAGCCACCATGGTTTCTGCACCGACTTCATTAAATTTAGCTCTGCATTTTTGCCACCACATCTTCCTCCTGCCATTTGATGGCAAATCCCTACTCTCTCCTCATTTTAGACTCTCAGACATAACCTCGCACCAATCTCTCTGAGCTTTTCAATTCCGGGTATCCTATTTCAAGCAAAGGGGGCAGGACTGGCATCTCACAATTTGGTGACCCTTCACCACCACGCCCCCCCTACCCGCGACTGAGGGGAGTCTGTGCCATGGTCTGCTTTAACCCATTTTTAACAGAGTGGCAGACGGAGTCCTCTTTATATTAAGACCAGTGTCCCATGTGAATTCTGCCAAGGTTTGATTGTGTTAGAAATATAACACATTGTTGTCTGTTAACCAGCACATGATATATATAAAGCTGAACTTCTTTAATGCGAATCATGTGCAGTAGATACTGACTAGTTCTTAAATAAAAATTGCTTGCCTTGAAATTATTCATGTAATTACACAGAGCTGAATGCAGAATTTAAATAAAAAGAATGAGAAAAGCACGACTGGTATGAAAAATATCCCTCTGGCATCAACATTTGATAGTATCATCATCTGAAAACATATGAATTTTAAACCAGACATCGGGACAGAAATTGTGAGCCCCCGCTGTGAACAGAGGCAGATGGTAGCTAAAAACAGCCCTGCTGTCTGGCTCGACATTTTGCTGGCTCCCTGTCAAACCCCACCTTTGTTCAGTGGGTAGCCAACAGCTCATTAACAGCCAATGGAGGCCAATTAATGGAGGCCAGCCGGGCAACCTCCAGGAAACTCACTATCTTCCAGAGGCTGGGTTCGGAGTCTGGAGGTGGCATTTCAGTGGCAGACCAGTGGGAACAGGCAATGCTGCAGGTAAACTGTGGAGGCCCTCTGTGCCAACAAGGATGCAGGAATCTTCCTCCATGTCATTTATGGGATACCTCTGTGAACATCATTATGAGTGGCTGCTTCCCCCGAGAGTAAGTTCAGGACCCAGAGGTGTCCTGACCTCTAATTCCCATCTCCGGAGGGAAGTCTTACCCAACGCCACGCACAGTATCATGGCTAAACTGCACAAACACAGGGCTACCTCATTCTTTAATTAGATTGATAATGTAAACTCAACTTTCTTCAGGCATCACAGGAGTAGGCCCAGGTAAATAATGGCACAGCGTTAAGTTTTTAAGTGAAATTATTGAAAGTAAAATTCTCCCTCGGTTTATGCATTGTTAAAATTGCATATTCTTTACTTTCATTAACTTGTGCCTTAGGCAATGATACAATCACAATGCAAACAAGAAGCAACTGCCAAAATTTAAAACTCAAATATATACCTGAGAAAATAGTTTCATGCCTCAATTTGGGTTTGCCAATTTGTGAGCAAATCCCTTGCTTAGCTTATAATTCACTTAATGTGAACAAAGCTTACGTAGAACGGTTTCTAAGTGTGATTAAGTTGCCAATGTTAAAGTCTTTTTGTAATTTGCAGTGACTCCCAGGAAAGAGTATTTCAATGGCTCAATCTTCCTCAAAAAGCCGAGGATGACAAAGATTAGAAACAGAAACTGTTGGCCCAGCTAGAAATAATAGCCTGCTCGGGATAATGCTGGTGCAGTGATGACTGGGTACTGTTACAAGTGCTTGAACGCAACATGGAAGTCTAGTTGGCCGGATGGGCATGTAAAGAAGGTATTGTAAATGTTGGCACACTATTTCTGTTGAAACAAAGTCTTTCCTGATGACATAATCCTAGTTAACTTGGCATTTCTCTGATGGTACAAATGGAGTTCTGATACAAAGGCACAAATTACTTTGTTAAAATGTATTTTAGAAGTGTCCAGCAAAGGAAGTGCTATGTTAGTTGTGAGGATTTTCATCAACAGAGAGAGGACAGTGGGGGAGTCGGCGGGGGACATTACTTTGTTCCAATTGTGGTTAATCACAATTTCCTGCTTCCTAATGAAACCATCTCTTCCATTAATTCAAGAGAGTATGGGTCTTTGCTGTTCAAGGTGGGAATAAACTATTTGTTGTCCTGAAACTAAACTATTTGTTGTCCTGAAACTAAAGTATGAAGTAGAAATTTTTCGTTTAATTTTTTTGTTTCATCCACAGGTATATATAAATACACAATAATTCAATATAGTGAAGTTTTTCACACATACATGTATGAAATATGATCATAAACTGCAATCATTTGATTTAGAGACATTAAACTGAAATCTCCCAACACTGAATTTGTATAAAAATACTGCAATATTTGCAAAGTAGTACTTTATAAAATATTTTAAAGAAATCCCAGGATTACTTACCTAAGATAAATAAGTCCCTTCAGATAATTCAAGCAATGAGATGTTGCTTCTTTAACCTTTTCACTTAAAATCAAACCTTAATAATTCTGAAACTCAATCTTTTTTGATTACCTGTTGGAAATAAAAAAAAGACCAGTTAAACAACGCTTATTTTAAATTATACGTTTAACATATACTTCAAAATATATTTTAAAAGCAATTTTTGTAAAGGCCTGAAAATTCCTGACAAAGGTGCTCAAAATTCATGGTCTATTCCTCTTCATTTAAAGTTGATTAAATTTAATTATTGGTACATTTCAATTGTAGTTCTACAAAATACATAAAAACAGAAAATACTGGAAATATTCAACAGGTTTGGCGATAACTGTGGACAAGGGGAAAGAGTTCACTTTTTGAATCAAGTATGACTCTTTTCCCTTTTTAAAATGTGTGCAATTCATTATTGTAGGATATTTTAACTAGAAATTGGCTTTCAATAAAGCGGTTTTTTCTCAAGGAGTCAGTCTGGATAACTCTTACCTCTGCCAGGATGTTAGGGTTTCAGCCCCACTCCAGGACCTGAATATATAATACGAGTTGATTTTCCAGTAGAATACCAGCTTTCCAGTATCCTAGGCAACAGTTATCTCTTAACAAACATCACCAGGACACTTTAGTTGCCAATTTATCACATGACTGTTTGTGGAGCCTGGACATGTGTAAATTGGCTGCGGTGTTTTCCTACCTTACAGAAACTACACTTTAAAAGTAATTATTTTGCCGTGAGAACTTTGGGATGGCCTGAGGTTGTGAAAGACACTAACTAAATGCAATTATTTTCTTTCCTCTTTAGCCACACTTGTTCTGAAAGCTCTAACTCTTGCCAAGATACAATTTTACAGACATTGGCTGCCGTCTAGTACAGTTTCAGCTGAAGCATGTAGTCCCAACGTAAAACAAGTCATGTGGCACCGACTGTCAAAGTTGGTGTATCATACTACTTCAATACCAAATCTGATATCAGGCTGGAGAAATTAACCAAAATACAGGGTAATGTCCAAATAACTGCAGTCCATCTTTACCTATTAGTAGCCACTCAAGGTATCTTCACAAATTCTAAATTCATGTCATACTTTACGACATGAGAAGTTGTCACTACAAATTCTGAGTGGAAAACAGTACCAATGTTTCTCAATTTAAATTTATCTTGACTGCAAAACTACATTTGCTTTTGAAATAAAACAAATTCATATTACTTGAGACATAATACATTTCAAAATACACTACATTGTATATACTTTGGTACCCTTTTCCACATTAATTACTGACACAGCTCAAGATATTTCACATCACATTCTCCATATCTATCATTCTCATTCTTTACTGTATTATCTAAGAATAAAGAAAACTTAGTTGATAACATTTCTGAGTTCACGATTGTTTGGCACTAATTGCTAAAACTATAGGCATAATGAGGAAATCTTAAACCAGAAAAAAAGCAGCGTTTGATGGCACTATTCTGCAGTGTAGGTTAATCAATCGCTGACAGAACAAAACTTTCTACAATTACAATATTACAAAAAGATAGTTGGAATCTCAAATTTTAAATTTAAAGTTGATCTTGCTCTTTGTGCACCTTCTCTGCAGCTGTAACATTGTATTCCTCGCTTTGGTCTATTACCGTAATGCACTTTGTACGGTATGATCTGCCTGTATTGCATGCAAAACAAAACTTTTCACTGTACTTAGATACATGTGACAAAATAAATCAAATCAAATGATCATTTTCCAAAAGTGTCATCAGAAAAAAAACAAGGATTTAATTTCACTTCTTCAATAAAATGGAATCAGCAATCCTTCTAACTGTAATCGTGACTGCCCACATCTCACGGAGAAAACCAACTCTATTGCAATTCTATAACCTTGTTGAAATAAAAAAGCATAACAGCTAACACGTTTAACAATACGTAAGTGAACAGAAGTACAAGCATTTATACATTCATTCGTTTACAAAAATCAATATTACCTCAATGCCCGTAACAAAATTCTCAAATTATTGCTTAACTCTGAAAGGCAACTTTTGTACTGTTGCACATCAGACCTTTGGCTGATTGCATCAGATGGACAGGTGAGTGGATGAATAAAAAGAGGGAGTAAACTAAAAGAGCCAATCATCAAATGTACCAAACCCAACACTTCCATTTAAAGACTACTTACGTCAGTGGCATGAAAGAGCAGTATCTAATCCAAAATCAAGATTAACCCAGGCCCTGTTTAACCCATCAATCTGGCAGGACAGCAACGTTCTACAACATCCTTCTAAAGTAGGTCTCATTGAAAAGCAAAGCATCTTCTGGACACTATTACTATACAATAAACAAGAATGATCTCATTGTCATGTTTTTTACTGCTAGAGCAAATAATGAATTTTAGCAGAATGTTCCCAGAAGTTATTTTCCACTCTTTGACAGAAAGAAAGCTTAATGTTCAAAGACAAAAAAACACCCCCAGGTTTGAAGACAACAAAGACTAGGTAATTTAGGGCATGATTATCAATCAGGGCACAGTGGCTCAGTGGCTAGCACTGCAGCCTTGCAGCACCAGGGACCTGGGTTTGATCTCACCCTTGGGTCACTATTTGTGTGGAGTTTGCATGTTCTCCCTGTGTCTGTATGGGTTTCCTCTGGGTGTGCTGGTTTCCTCCTTCAGGCTAGGTGGGTTAGCCATGGGAAATGCAGGGATAGGGTATGGTGATGGGTCAGTGTGGACTGTTTTCACACTGTAGGGATTCTATGACTCTCGTTGGAATGTACCTGTTAATTGGAAGCTTATTTTGGTTTTAAACAGCTGAGATTGTAGGAAACAAAAGAGATACCACATAGTGCTCTATAGCATTTATGATCTGGGAAAAGAATGATAGCTAGAGATAATATGCTAGGTTTGGATTTCAATGCTTTGGGGTTTGATAACACATTTTACTCATTCACGGGATGATGACATCAATGGCTTGGCAGCAATTATTGGGCAGTTCAGAGTCAAACACATTGCTGTGGGTCTGGAGTCACATGTAAGCCAGACCAGGTAAGGATGGCAGTTTCTTTCCATAAAGCACACCAGTGAAAGGCTTTTTCCAACAACTGACAATGGATTCATTGTCATCATTAGCCTCTCAATTCCAGATTTTTATTGAATTCAAAATTTCACCATCTGCCGTGGTGGGATTCGAACCCAGGTCTCCTGACTGGGTCTCCGGGTTAATAGTTCACCGATAGTACCACTAGGTTGTCACCTCCCCATTAGCACAGTAACACCCCAAGCACTAAAGCAGCTTCTTTTTAAAAAGAACGGCACTGTTTGCTCCTGAATTTAGAGGGATCTTTAAGAAAGGCCAGAACAAATGCTCGTGCCTGCCCCGCCCAGTTGGCTGGCTGTGGTTACTGGGCATCTCCGAATGTAGCCAAACATGAACTCCCAGACTCACATCAACCAAGCACTGATACCTGTCCATGGACTTGCATACCATTTCAAATCTCCAAGGAGCACTCTTGGCTCTATAAACTGAAAAGGAGTCAGCCCTGGATTACTGGTCAGGGTACTTTGAAACATTTCTTAATGCAAAGACTCTTCAGTGACACTGCCATCGACCACTATAGCAACAGGCCGTCAAAATCAAACTGGTTGAGGGCCCACTTCTGGAGGAATCTGTGACCACCATCAACCAGTTGAAGGGCAACAAACTCCTGGGGTCAATGGGATTCCACCTTGAAGTTTGGTGGTCCTCCCCTATATAAGCTCCATAAAATGACTGCCGAAGATTTCAGCATTCCACAGGATCTGAGAGATGCTGGTATCATTACCCTCTAGCCAAGCAAAGGAGAAATGCCAGATTGCTCCAGCAGCTGTGGGGTCAGCCATATTTCTATTGTTGGGAAGATCCTGGCTAAAATACATGTAAAAAAAAACTTGCGCCTACCATCTCAAAGAAAACCTCCCAGAGACCCAGTGTGGTTTCAGGGTAAATCGAAACATGACAGACATGGTACATGTGCTCAAACAAAGTCTAAGAAAGGTGTCGTGAGCAAAACAAGACCAAAACATCTCTATCGTAGATCTCACCTTGGGTGAGCAGAAATGGATTTTGAAAACTCCTTCAAAAATCTGGATGGTCAGCCTTGATCCTGGTCAATATGAAGCAGTTTCATGAAAACCAGGTAAATAAAAACAAAACACTGTGGACACTGGAAATCTGAAATAAAGTGCTGGAGAAACTCAGCAGGTTGGGAGGCAGAGAGAGAAACAGAGTTAACAAGTTTGACATGAACCTTCTTCAGAACTGAAATGTTAACTTGGACTCATAATGTTTCTATCTCCACAGATGCTGCCAGAGTTTCTCCAGTACTTTCGGATTTATTTTATGAAAACCAGTTTGGGTAAGTTATGCACAACAGTGATCTCTCGAATCTGTTCCAATTCTCCAACAGCATGAAGCAGGAATATGTACTGGCCCTGACCTTATTTACCAACTACCTCAGAATGGTGCTGCAGCAGGTAACAAACCACCTTAAGAGGGAGTTTACAGAGGCTTCCAGACATGTTTTCACTGATTATTGCTCTCTCCTGGTCCACAGACAGTGAGACTTGTACTGTACAACAACCTGTATTTCCAAGGCCGCACAACACTTCAGGCTAAATGTCAATCTAAAGGACAGCGAAGTCCTGCACTCTAACAAAAATATAAGCCATCAAGCATTGACATTGTGGGAACTGAGCTAAATGCTGTCGAGCAAGTTATCTCTCTGGGGAACATCATCTTGTTTGATGCCACCAAAGACAAGGAAGTCAACAATAGGCATTCTAAAGCAAACTAAGCATTTGCAAAACCCTACAAATGAGCGTAGAGCAACTGTAGTCTCAGAACACAGCTCAAGCTCAATGTACAAGATCTCACCATCCTCCTGCAAGGTGCCGAGGCACGGGTTCTGTACCACTGACATGTATGCCTTCTAAAGCTCTTCTACCAGAGCTGTCTCCTCAACATGCTCATGGTTTACTGACAGGACCACATCACAAACACTGAAGTCCTGGAAATGGCCAACATCACCAGCAGTGAGAGACTCCTCCTGCACAGCCAACTGTGTTGGGTCAGGCATGTTGCTCAGATGGGTGACAATCACTTACCTAAGATTATGTTGTGCATAGAGATACCACATCAGGAACACTATAGAGACCATGGAGACTGGGTCAACAGTCAATGTGATAGACAAGGAGACGTACAGATCCAGCAGTAACTGAACCTTTACCTGTTTCCACTGTAGAAGCATCTGGGTTATAGTAAGTCTGGCTAGCGACCAATGGACATGTAACCAATAAGTTTTCTTTCATTGGTTAATGGGATATGAGCATTGCTGGTTGAGTCAGCATTTATTGCCTATACTTAATCACCCAGTGAAGAGTAAACCACATTGCTCTGGGTCTGGAGTCACATGTAGACTAGACCAGGTAAGGATGGCAGTTTTCCTTCTCCAAAAAGGACATTAGTGAATCAGGTGGGTTTTTAAATTGACAATGGCCACCACTTCCTCCAAAACGAGTACAACCTTCCTATAATCTTCATCAATGAAGAAGTGCCAGGAGGAGACAGTGAGAGCAGTGCACATTACAGCATAGTGGTAAGGAACCAAAGCAAACGCCAGTGGTGGCACTATTAATAAAATGATGACATAAGTTTGAGGCAAAAACAGCAGAGATTAGAAACCAGAGAAGTGAGAGAGCACCCTGAACGGGGATGAGAGTGAGAAAGGGAGAATCCCTCCTCCTAACACTATGTGAGCAGAGCTCAAGTTACAAAACTGAATCATTTGCAAACAACAAATGTTGGAGATCACAGCAGGCCAGGCAGCATCCATTCAGGTCTGACGAAGAATCATCTAGACTTGAAACATTAGTTTGCTTTCTGTCCGTGGATGCTGTCTGACCTGCTGTGATCGCCAGCATTTGTTGTTTTCAATATAGATTCCAGCACCTGCAGTAATTTGCTCATGAATTTTTTGTAATTTGTGTTGTTAGGGAGTTAAGAGTTGGCGATGAAAAGAAGCAACATTGGTGATGTGAGACTTTTCTTTGAAGTCAGGAGATACAGTGAAGTCAAAATCATCAACAGATGAACAAGTGCTAAGAGTGAAACATCATAGATAAGAAGAAATATCTATTAATTTGATCATGTCTATATCTGGTGCCAGTAACTGTAAATTGAAACAATCAGACCATTGTGTAGGGTCTAGGCCTGAAACGTCAGCCTTCCTGGGGTTTTTCTATGGGGTTCTCTCTGTCTTTCTGTCTTTCTCTCTCTCTCGCTCTCTCTTTCTCTCAGGAGGTGATGTATAACTGAGGAGTGTGTGTCTATTATAGTGCACACAACCATTACATTTGTGTGGGATAAACTGGATCCATCCAGTAATCCTTTCACTACAACGTCATTGGTTCGTGATCTGGCAAACAAGCTTTTTGAGGTGCAATGCTTTTAGTCTGGCTGCAGTTATCCTTTAGCAAAACAATTGGTACCTCTGGGAAACAAATAAGTTTAAAATCATTTCAAAGGTCATGTTATGCAGCAAACACCACAACCAACCCCCATACCAGTCAAGGACAGCATAGCCTCACGTCCACGTGCCAATTGTTCAATTTTGTCAGTGGAAAGTTGGCTCTTTATCAACGCAAACATCTTTCAAAATAAAGTCTGGAAAGTTTGCAGGCAGTCACTCTTTACCCTTCACTCTGAAGTTGAAGTTCTATTCTGGAAGTGTAAAGCCTCCTTATCTTAGTTTCATGTAATGTCCTCAGCTAAAAATCTCCATCAGTTTAAAAATATTGGCCCAAGATGCACCCACTTTTGTTAAAAAGTAGAAAAGCACTTTGCAACTCACATGTATGTTGTAACTGGACTACAGCAGTCAGAAAAAAGTATTAGCTTGGATTTTATGGCCGTATTGGCGGTGAAACTGACAATGTTTATTGTAATTACCATATGAAACTTACAGCAGTTTTGCTGTTCACACATGTAAATGTGAAAATCCAGAAGTGAATGTCAGTGATTCTTTGATCATATCACGTACATTGTTGAAGTCTGCATAG